GTGACGCGTAACGTCCGAAAAATGCGACGGTAAATTTTTTTCCAACGCCGATAAAGAAGTTTCACTTCAAAAAATTAAAAAAGAAATAAATTAAAAACGTTTCTACAGTTATTTGAATCTCAGGAAGTTTGTAATATCTCTTAATAAATTATATTTTTGGTCAGGCATCCTGATTTTGTAATTATGTATTGATTTTCAAGATTACCTATTCTTGAACGGCCAACATATAATTGGCCATGAGAAAAACAATCTTCACGCAAATCACTCCCAATGTATTTTTAAACGTTTGAACTTGTGCCTTATTGATTGTAATAGTAAATGAAAATTTTATTGGAAATTGCAGTCTTTTGAAACTGAAACAGCGGCCGGCCGGGTCTGTGAGAATGGTGGTTTCTATAATATGAGGTCTTAGTTTTTGAACTTGTAGTCGGGTTTCGTTGCATAAGTTTGGAGGGTTTAGGTTCCTGAGCAAAATGATTGGGATACCAATTTTTAAATTAAGCATGTGTGGCGGTAGACCAGGGGATTAAGAGCATTTAATTATTCAAATGGGGTAATGAATTAGTTTTTAACGAAGAAGATGCATTCTTCGTTAATAACAGTATCTATAGATTTGTAAGAAAATTCCTCGACTTGTACCATACTATTTAAAATTTCGTTATTTATTTGATCTTTTACATATAAAAGTGACATTATATTGACTGATACTTTCAACATCTGGATACACTCTGTGTATCAGCTCACAAAGGGTAATTTGTCAAGGAGTCAAAAGTTTGTCAATCTCTCGTTATTCATCAAGGAGTCAAAAAGCCTGTCAGTCGATCGTGATTCATCAAATACTCTGTCAGTCAGTTGTGATCCGTCATAGAGTAATAACCTCTGTCAGTCAGTTGTAGTTTGTCAACAGACAAATCTCTATCAGTCAGTTGTGATCCGTCAAAGAATCAAAAATTATGTCAGTCAGTTGTGATCTTTCAAATAGTCTGTCAGTCTGTTGTGATCTATCAAAAGTCAAATGTCTGTGAGCCTGTTGTGATCTGTCAAAAGTCAAAAAGTCTGTCAGTCTGTTGTGATCGGTTAAAAGTCAAAAAGTCGGTCAGTCTGTTAGGATCTGTCAAATAGTGAAAAATCTGTTAGTTAATATTTTTTTAAGTTTTTATTTAAATTTTGAATTAATTAACTTTAAAGACTTTATTTAAGTGATTATTTACAGATCATTATGAAATTATTATCTGTGTAAAGGACGTAGATCACGAAAGTAGTTTTATTTCAATCATTTTATGACAACTAAAATTTTTAGGTTTTCATTGTCAATGTAGATACTTTTAGAAAAAAATAAATGAAGTTTCGTTTTCTGGAAATATAATCGCACTTTCTTACTGAATTCGCTAGTAATATTTCTTAAGTAACTCAAAATTCATATCAAATGTAAGGAAAAAACTTAATTAAAATGTCCTCGGCACTGACGTAGAAGTCAATATCGGCGACTGCTTTATAAGGACTCCAAGTTCCATGCATTTGCTTAAAAAGTAAGAAAATAAGAAATAATACAATGCTTTGCTCAGGTATATCTATACCAAATTTAAAGTCAAATTAACATTTGGTGTCTGTACCCTGCCAACCTAAACAGTAAACGGTAACTCAGATCTATGAACATGAATGGCACCGACTCCAAATGGTTTTTTTAACACACCAATTAGCCTAGCCCCAAAGTAAGCACTATATATAAATAATAAATAAATAAATATTTCCAACACTCACACCAATTAGCCTAGCCCCAAAGTAAGCACTGTAAGGCTTGTGTTACGGGAAACTAGGGTAACGGATAGAATACGTATACTGTACATATATAAGTATATTTATATAGAAATACATATTAAAAACCATGACTGGAGTCCCAGTGCTCGTGTTCATCACACAAACATCTGCCTCCACCAGGGTTCAAACCCGGGACCTCTCGTGTCGGTGACTCCATGAAACCCGGCGTACAAACCACTCGGCCACGGAGGTCGTCAAAAATGTTAATTTGACTTTAAATGTAGTTTAGATATAAGTACAGAATTTTATTATTTCTTACTTGTTATTGGTTTTGTCTTTATGAAGTCGGTTTTTTTTTCTAAAAAAGTTTTCCACTTTTAATAAACCAGAGTAACATCGACTAAGTAAAAGTTACCTGCATTTTCTCCTTCCCATCTCTTATAATAATCAAACACGGATTAATTACTTTTTGTAATTGAAGAGTTCAATTGTTTACATCGAAAGTACTCCTCAAAGAAGAGCGTCATCAAATTAATATGCTATCTAGTTAAGAAACTGATTCAGACATAAAAATAATCATCAATATTGGTACACGTGTCTATCTCGGAGATATTTGCGAACACTAACATAAAAAAAAAATCATCAAAACAAAGACGCATTTAGAACCCGTTCAAGCTCAAGTGTTTCACTAATTTTTAATGTTCAATTTTGGGCTCATTTCTATTCCTAGGTTACACAATGTCGTACCCAAAGTCATAGATGGTATATTAAGCTGATTTTACTTTATGAAATTAGTAGCATCAGTTTCGTGTTAATAATTTTCATCAACAATTTAAATGTCGTTTGTTGAAATAAATTAATGTACACTCACGGTCTTTTGTTTGGGATCCACCTGAAGTTGAACATCGGACAGTACTAGGATATCCTATGAGCAAATTTGTGACCGATTACGTTGCTATGACAACGGCATGTGGTCATACACACTGTTTATAATGTCAGCAGAGACAATGGCTCAGTGTACACGCCAACCTTACGGATCCGAAAAGCATACGATCAATGAATTTACTATTTAACGTTTATAAACAATAATTTATATAATAAAATATAGTATTTGTAATTTCCGAAGATTTTCAAAAGATAGTAAATTATTTACATTTTCTTAGTGTCAATCCGAGTGCTTGTCATCATGAAACTTGTGCGACATGGATAGAATGTTCATATGAAAAAAAATAACGAAATAATACCTTTAGAAACGAGATTAATATTTTTCAATAAATATTAACAATATATTTCAATAAATTCGAAAAGGTTTGGACTTGACGTTTCAACTCTGTTCTCATCTCAGATTATTGATATGCATAGATGGAGCGATAAAATAACCTCAGATTAATACTATAGTTCTTATTCTGAGATTTTTATGTGGACATTTCGACTTTATTGTGATGTGAATGCTCAAACCACACTGTAATGAAATGGGGACCCATTTCATAAAAATTACAGCATCTGACTGTACATTAGGTACATGAAACAGTTTTATTTTTAATATACAGTTTCTTAAAGCTCTCTATCAGGCCCCTTTGATTTGGCATTTTTTCCGTCAATATTGCATAGCCCATAGACAAACAGTGCGAAACTGTTATCAAACAACGCGGCCATAGTTTTATAATTTTGGATCAGTAAAAGCAGCAAATCTTTTCTAGGCCCTACTGTTATTTTTTATAACAAATACCTGACGATGTCGTTGCCCTGACAGACACTCAATTTAAAAAAAACTATGTATAAAAGTAGGTACTAATTAGTAAGGCCTATTACAAAGTTGAGGATTATATAACAGAAAAATGTACATGCATTAACATTAACTCTGCGCTAATAATGCAGTGGTTGTTATGGTAATTAATATAGGTACCTACTCATTTATCATTTTAAAATTATATTTTTGTTTGTATACATGATTTCAATAAGTGGAAAGGCTTATGTTGATTTAATAATTTCTGATTCTGCCCCTCTAGCATGACCAACTGTCAGACTTCTGTCAAACTCCATAGTAGTCTGACAGTTAATGCCGATATATCGCTTTATCATATCCCGTTTCGGTGGTCATGCTAGAGGGGCTGATATACTTACGTAGCGTAAGAAGCGCGGGCCTTGCATCATTCAGGGCCTATCTTCAGGGCCTTCCGACAGCGCCGCCTCAGAAGCCTTTGTGTACCTAAGCGACACGGCCCTTTCGTTTATAAAGGATCAAGCTGCTGAGGATCAATCACTTATCCATTTGTTTTTGTCTATTGAAGTGTACACTCAGTCAGAAGAAAAATCTCTTACGGTGAAAATATGGAGAATAATCAATAACCTCCACTTTAGAGAAGATCACAATGACATAACACTAATTTTTGGTGCTGTTGTGTTTATGTTGATTAGTAAGGTTACAGGACTCCACGAGGTAGGGGATAGTGTCAGGGTAGGTAACAGCGTGAGTGATTTTCTGGTATCGAAAGCGGCTATAGGCTATGATAGCCGCTTACCGTCAGGCGCGCGCGCTGTTATGCTTGTTTGCCCAAGCTTAAAAAAAGCTTTATTTAAAAAAACTATTCGAATTGTAATCAAAAATAATATAAATAACATTTTTATTTTTTCCCAAAATGTTGTTCCTGGGATTAGATTCAGTAAATTTTTCGATTTAATTCTTTCCCAAAACCTCCCGTTAATTTTAATTAATTTCAACAAAAAATAGAGAGACATTCAAGTGCAGCTGTTATCAAGTGATGTGCATATTAACGAAAATTTTATTCGAAACAATAAAATGTGTACAGCACTTCATGGTACCGTGCATAAATTTATTATTTAATCTATGGCACAGCAAATGCCAATTTGGTGGATAGTCTCTATCTTTCTTCATCATTCTTCATAACCCGTTGAAGTTTGCGCAGTTAACATAAACAGCAAAAAATAAACATAATTCGAGAGAAGTGAAAAGTAAAATGATCCTACGTATTAAATCGAAACAAATTATATCCCAAGTTATAGGTAGTGAGCACAGTTTTATTTCACAATTTCTTAAAAAGATTGTGAAGATCTGGCCGATAGCTTTGGTTTAGATACACCACGTCTCGTAGTGGCAGACGGAGTGCAGCCCTTATCTTAGCGTGACGTCAACCGACCGCGAGATATATACGGCGAGCAGTGGCGCGCGCGCACACACTCTGATACTAGTACCCCGTGCATTACCTTCGCGCCTCGCAGTTCGAGCCAATTATATTTGCGGAAGTACAAGTAAACATTGTATTGCATCTGTGTCTTCTAGTGTTTGTGCCTGTTAACTGAGTGGTTGGTGAGTAAATAAAGCAACAAAATAAATAAATGAATATAAATCTGAAGATATCTACTACTACTAGCTGACAGAACTATTGAAAAACCTAAACAAAAACTATTGAAAAACTACTGAAAATATTGATTGTTTACTGATACTTTATGCTTTCTTAGATCTTTCATAACATGTATATAACAATAAATTAATAATTATGTTTAAGATATAATTATTAAATTTATGTTTAGTAAAAAGATATCAGAAAACAATGATTATATTTTGTTTATAGAAGATCTGAAACCCATTCAATAAGATGGACTAAACGATGACAAATCATTAGTTTAATCTTGAAATCTGGTTAACAATCAAGAGTAAGTAGACGTAGCAATGAAACGAAGGACATCCTTAGTACTAATTACTTGGAAATAACAGGTAGCAAATGACAATAGAATTGAAAAGGGAAAAGGAACTCGCGAACACAGCTGCACAGCTGCAATTTTAGTAGTTATACAGTATCACTAGTGAGCTAAGTCGGGACTGAAACCATGGCCAATCTTTAGATTTCTATGTGAAAGTCCCTTTCGTAATGTTTACAAACTTTATTCACAGCCATCAGTGCATTTTGAAAAGTTCCTAACGTAAAAACGACCTTGGTGCATTAATTTTGCATTTAACAGACATCTGTGAGGATTTGTACCATTAAGACGATTAAATATTGAATAAATTTATGAGAAGTATTCTGTATAAATTACAAATAGCCCGGCTTTGATGTGAGTCACGAATAAAATAAGTATAAGAAGCCCCATAAAAATACGTAGAGCCCATTGTTTATAAAGCAGACAATATCGATACATAGATTAATGCTTAGAATATCAGATACCTAAGTTCAAAAGTATTACTATTTACAAACAAGATTCATTAATATAAATTTCTATGTGTAACAATTGAATATGAGTAGCAATTAATTTATCAAAAATATATTAAGAATTTTCAATGCAGTCCATTTAATATTAACTCCTTTATTAATGACTGATGATATACTTATTTTGTGGTTATGATTGTTAATGATTCTAGTAAACATTTCTAGAGTTTCTAAATTTACTAATTTCATATTGCCGGTAAAGGTAATGATTAAAATCATTAACAAAGGGATTCAAACAAATCAGGATTAAAATAACTTAAATACATTATTATATTATAATATTCAGATTTTCCTAATACAAATTTCATAATTTAAATATTTTCATTTTATTACAATTTAAGTACACACATGTACCCAGTAGGCATTTCACAAAATAAAGATGTGCGTCAAGTCTCTCAGCATATTTTATAATGGTTACTGAATGAGATGACTTTTGAAATAGTTGAAAGATATTCATAAAAAGTATGGTTCTTTAGGATAGTAAAAACCTTCGAACATTGACTCTATGATAAAACTGGTTTGCATTGCAGCATACATCGTTTTTATTGATTATATTATTAGGAACCTACCTTTACTTTATTATATAACTTTATAAACAATGGACTCTTCGTATTTAAAAAGCGTAAGAACCTACGTACGCTTTTAAATTTATAAGTATTATATTATTATATATGTACATGATGCTAAGATCCTAGTTACTTGAAATACTTGGGTATTGGCTGTTTTTCATTGAATAATCCTGACTAGAGCGTTTAATCACAAATTAATAACTACTTTATCATACATACGTGTCGTTTACTTTGTAACTTTGTAATACCTACAAGGAATATTACGTAGGTAAATATATTTTAATAAAGATGACAAATCTAAAGGTGTATTAGAAAAAGCCCAACCTAGTGCTATTTGTCTCAAACAAAATTCATCCCTGCAGCAGTGATTATGATATGATACAATTTCATTTTAAAATTAGCGGCGGTTACTTTGGTTCTCCTACGGATTTTCTCATTTCTGATTCTATCGCGTAGGGAAATACCGAGCAGCGCTCTCTCCATTGCTCGTTGTGTGACCTTCAGCCTTCTTATGAAACCCTCAGTAAAGGACCACGTCTCGCTTCCATAGGTCATCACTGATAACAGGCACTGGTCTAAGACTTTTGTCTTGAGACACTGAGGTAATTTGGATGCGAAGATTTTCCGTAGCTTCCCGATAATCTAGTGACGATCCGAGCTGGATACGACGACAGATCTCTTTCTCAAAGTTGGACTTGCCTAACTGGATTGTCTGTCCTAGGTGAACGTGACGGTTGACAACTTCGAGTGTTGCGTCCCAATTTTAACTGGAGCGGGTACTACATGGGCATTCAACATAATTTTCATGTCATATCCATGTTCATATTAACTAAGGTCTTCGAGCACCGTGTTAAGATTTGCCAATGTTTCAGCCATAAGAACTATATCATCGGCTCAACGAAGGTGCGAAAGGTACTTGCCATTAATTTTAATGCCTCGTCCTTTCCAATCCGGAAGTATAATATCTTCCAATGAAGCTGTGAATAGTTTCGGAGATATCACATCTCCCTGTCTCACGCCTCGCTGGAATAGACAGGTTATACTCTTCGGTCTTTTTTATAATCTGCCACAGCATATGAATGTGGTCTATGGTACTGAAGCTTTTTCGGAAACCAGCTTGTTCGGGAGGTTGGAAGTCATCAAACCTGCGTGCGAGACGACTCGTAATTCAAATTATTAAAGACGGCCATCTAGGCGAATAGAAAAAATATTAGCTACACCAACCAGGATTAGAGCACGCTATATCACTAATAGAAGGTTACTTGCAAAAATAGACTGCTGAGTTAATAGAGCTGAATAGGCCGAACACCTGTGATTTTGTAAGAGCATAAATTGGATACTGCAAATTCAAGATACATCAAAATCTTATGAAATTAAATGACACTGATATTTGCACATCAGGAGTGTCAAACATTAAAACACCTATGTGAATGTGGCCTCATATCCACAAAACGTGGTATTTATCTGGGACAACATATAATACACCAATAATACACATATAATACACCCCAATCTTCGTTTTTCTTCTTCAACGAATTCTTCAAATTCGTAGTGACAACAATTCGATTAGGACTCTATAGCCCCAAAAAGTCTGAAATAAATAATAGGTAGATGTCCTTCATATTTTTACTGTGTGCGTTGTTTATAGAATTTTCCTATTTTTCTACACACTACCCTATAATTTGCACATTTATATAAAAGCAAAAATATATTTTCTTTAAAGTGCGATTTTCGAATTTGGTTCTTAATTTATCATCTGATTTCATGCAGTTAATGTGCTTATTTGTTTATAAAAATGATACATCTGAGTATATTTCATAATTAATATTCACCTCATCTAATATTGGAAAAATCTTAAGGACCTTAAAAAGTTGTATAGCAAATATTAAACTCATATTAATAGGTGAAGGAATAACTTTTGGTATCCCTTTTCAAGCATATTTTGCACTCTTAGAGGAGTTACCATGTGATTGAAACACACCACATAACGAACTTCGGCCAGTAAGCGTAGTGAGTTTTAAAATTTCTTGCAAATATATAAATTAATAGTCTTTGGAAATAACTCCGTTGTACATTGATGATAAGGGGTTGCTAAGATAGATACCACAGTGCTTTATCTACCATCACTTGTAAGCACAAATATTGGAGCGTAACTACATTGATATTAATACCATTTTGATTTGTTGTACCACCTATACAGCAAAATTTAGCGATATTAATACACAAGGTTCACATGTATGAACAAATAAAATAAATCAATAGTTACGTGGTAGGGGGCAATGTTGTAGTTCGAAAACTGAATAACAGGTTGATAGCGGTCAGTCTGGCCGATTTGCACGCTACAAAGTATACAAAGTTGCTAACCTCTAAAATATGTAATCTATTATCATAATGTAATGATATTCAAGGTGGTGAAATGAGAATATAATTGTTTTCTAGAAATACATCTTAACGACGCCACACGATACTTATGTGTTTAAATTGTTCTTTGAAAAATAATGTGAAAGGTTTTCAATAGGTGTACATACATCCCTTCATTACTTTTAAAACTCCCACATCCAACGATAATACGATGAAAAGCAGATTTCTGGGTATATTTTCCTTTATTATTCCTTTTGACAGTAGATAATGGTAGTACACTCTGAACTATAAAATATAGTCGTTTTAACTATTACTACAAAAATATTAGATAATCTAGTGAAAATCATATTCAAGGATAAAGATAATACGAAAGTGTAGTTTATTACTTACTAGCTGTGCCCCTGCGGTGTTACCCGCGGTTTATTTGGGATATTTTCCCGCAGTAAAACGTAGCCTATGTGTTAATCCAGGGTGTCAGCTAACTCTGTACCAAATTTTATCAAAATCGCTACAGCGGTTTAGACGTGAAGAAGTAGGTAACAAACATACACACTCGCAAACTTTCGCCTTTATAATATTAGTGTGATGAATGGCTTGTTTGTAGGTTATATTAATTCTAGGAAAAACAAATCTTTTCTTCAAGGAAAATATGATAATATTTTCCTTGATAATATAATATATAATTTTAAACTAGGAGGAGGTTTATTAATTCTTCATTTTTTGTAAAGTCAAGTCTAGAACAAGAATTTATCCTGTCAATGCAGCTATACAATAAACTGACCCGAGGTTTACATGAATCTAATTTAATAAATTATGTTATTTAAGTCATTAGATCATTTATTATTCTAAAGACTTGTTCAATTTATTGCCTTGTAAACACGCCATTTTTATATTTTGATTAGGATTGGTTTATGCTAAAAGTTTTTACGTGGGTTAATGTTGAAAAAAACCAGTGAGCTTATGATCACACGACTGAAGTGAAACTTCTTTAGCTCCATCTGTATATACATATATATGTGTGCGTGTGTGTACATATACATTTTTCATTTACCGGCTATAGGACGAAAAGAGAGAAAGAAAATGTGCGCGCGCACTGCTTGCTTATATCCCCCACTGAACTCCCATTCGCCTCGCCCGAACACACTTTTCATAACTCGTAAAAGAACTTCACT